CTACCTGAAGCTCACAAGAAAGATCAATGAGGCCGAGGAGCGGATAGACACTATCACCACCGCCTCGTCCGAAGAAGACACACCAAAGGCCGAACCGGTCGGAGACGTGGAAGAGGTTCCGTTGGACATCTCCCGGCCGGAACGCATGCTGAAGATTGGGACACAGCTCCCCCAACAGATCCGAAGGGACATCCTCTCTGTCCTGAGAGCGTACGCCATCGTCTTCGCATGGGGACCAGAGGATATGCCGGGCATCAGCCCAAAAGTGATCACGCATCGGCTCTCGGTGAACCCGGCCTCCTCCCCCATCAAACAAAAGAAACGCTACCTCTCGGCTGACAGGAGGGAATTCGTCAAGGCCGAAGTGGCCATGCTGCTCTCCATTAAGCACATAAAAGAGGTGAAGTACCCCACGTGGTTGGCGAACGTCGTCCTCGCACCAAAGCCGCCCACGTTCAGAATGTGTGTTGATTACACTGACCTGAACAAGGCATGCCCAATGGACCCATTCCCTCTCCCCAACATTGATCAGTTGGTGGATGAGACGGCGGGGTGCGAGTTGATGTCGTTCCTCGACGCGTTCAGAGGGTACCACCAGATATCCATGCACGAAGATGACGCGGAGAAGACTGCTTTTATGACCCCGGAGGGAATCTTTTGCTACCTCGTCATGGCCTTTGGGCTCAAGAACTCCGGCGCCACCTACACAAGGATGGTAGCCCGGATTTTTAGAGCAGTCTTAGGTCGGACGATGGAAGCATACGTCGACGATATGATCGTCAAGAGCAAACAATCCACAACCCATGCTGACGACCTCCGGGGCATCTTTGAGATCATGAAAAGGTACAACCTCCGGCTCAACCCGAAGAAGTGCACCTTCGGCGTCCAGGGAGGTAAATTCTTGGGGTACCTGGTCAGCCAAAGGGGCATCGAGGTGAACCCGGAGAAAATACAAGCCATCATCAATATGGAGCCGCCCCGCAACATAAAGGAGGTGCAACGGCTGACGGGACGCCTCGCGGCCCTGAACCGTTTCCTCTCAAAATCCGCTGAGAAGTCTCTCCCCTTTTTTCAAGTGATGAGGAAGGCCACCAGCTTCAAATGGACGACGGAGTGCCAGCAAGCCTTTGAAGAGCTGAAACAATATCTCGCCTCCCCACCCGTCCTATCCAAACCCCAACCCGGCGAGATTCTATTCCTTTACTTAGGAGTGAGCACGTCGGCCATCAGCTCCGTACTCATCAGGGAGGATGACGGGGTACAAAAAGCAATATTTTACGTCAGCAAGACGTTGCGGGAGGCTGAGCTCAGGTACTCCCCCATTGAAAAGACGGTGCTGGCCATCGTCCACACGGTGAAAAAACTTGGGCACTACTTCCAGGCTCACCCCGTCCACGTCCTCACCCATCAGCCGTTGGGCGCCCTCATGAGGAGCCCAACCAGCTCTCCAAGGATGATCAAATGGGCAATATTCCTAAGCCAGTACCAGATAGAGATCAAGCCGAGGCCATCCATCAAAGGACAAGCCTTAGCTGACTTCGTCACCGAATGCACGGCAAGGGAGACGGCCGTTACCACCACCGGAGCTGAACCGGACGAAGCCTGGACCCTCTACACAGACGGGTCCTCGGCCACCAAAGCTTGTGGGGGCGGCGTCGTCCTCATCTCCCCGGAAGGTTTCAGAGCATACTATGCCATCCGCTTCAACTTCAAGGTGTCCAACAATGAGGCTGAGTACGAAGCGCTCCTCAGCGGTCTCAGACTAGCCGCTGGCCTCAAAGCACGCCACGTCAAAATCAAATGCGACTCCAAACTCGTAGTGAGCCAGATGGAGGGTTCCTACGAGGCCAAAGAAGGGAGGATGAAGCAATACAAGGAGGCCGCTGCGGAATTGCTCAAGGCGTTCGATACCTACGAGATCACTCAGATCCCAAGGGCAGAGAACGCCGAGGCCGACATACTCTCCAAGCTCAGCTCCGACACCCCCGAGCACATCTCCAAGATAGCAAAGGTAGAGGAGTTGAGCATGTCAAGCATTCACGCTAGCCCCATACTCTCCATACAACACCAGCCGGAGGACTGGATCACTGACATCGCAACCTACATCACCTCCGGCACGCTACCAGAAGACAAGGAGAGGGCCAAACTCGCCAAGCTCAGGGCGCCGAGCTATGTCATTGAGGGTGATAAACTCTACAAGAGATCATACAACGGCACCCTCCTCCGGTGCCTCCACCAGAATGAGGCCGAAGTGGCCATGGAAGAAGTCCACTGCGGCGTATGCTCGTCGCATCAGGGGCCCTTTAGCATGTCGCGCCGCCTCGTCGTCCAAGGCTACTTCTGGCCAACGATGGCACGTGATTGTGCTGAGGTCGCCCGCAAATGCACCGCATGCCAACACTATCAAAGGGCACCTGGCCGACCCGCTGTCAACTACGCCCCAGTCAGCACCGCCATTCCATTCTCCAGATGGGGCATCGACCTCGTCGGCCCCCTACCAAGAGCTGCGGGCAACAACAGATACATCATCGTCGCCATCGACTACTTCACCAAATGGGTCGAGGCCGAACCACTCGCAAGCATCACTGGAGCGCGGTGTCGAAAGTTCGTCTACAAGAACATCCTCACCCGCTTCGGCGTGCCTCAGGAGATCATATCAGACAACGGCACCCAGTTTGAGGCCGAACCATTCCAAAGCCTCCTCCAAGAATGGGGTATCAAGCACCGTTTCTCCTCCGTTGCCTACCCTCAGGCCAACGGGCAAGTTGAGAACGCCAACAGAACCATCTTGGAGGGGCTGAAGAAGAAACTCGAAGAAGAAGGCGGAAGTTGGGTCGACGAGCTCCCCAACGTCCTATGGTCCTACCGCACTACGCCGAGGAGGGCCACCGGGGAGACACCATTCTCCTTGTGCTACGGCTTCGAAGCCAAGGCTCCCACAGAAGTCACCCTCCCCAGCCGACGGGTCACACAATACGACCCCGAAGCCAATGAAGAAGCCATGAAGATTGACTTGCACCTCATTGATGAAAGGCGGGAGATGGCTTACCTTCGGGCAGAGAACTACAGACGACAAGTCAAATCCTACTACGACGCCAAAGTCCGCTCTTGCGAATTCCAGGTAGGGGACTACGTCCTCCGCCGAAGGGAAGCAAGCAAACCGACGGAAGGAGGAAAGCTCGCCGTCAAATATGAAGGGCCCTACATCGTCAGCGCCGTCATCAAAGCCGGCACTTACAAACTAAAGAACCCTAATGGGTCAGATGTACCACGATTGTGGAATGTACACCACCTGGTGAAATTTTACCAATGACTCGAGAAGTGGTGAAGCGGGCAACGTCCCCCACCCCTCGGCTGATTGGTTGAATGAAACACCCTCGGCCTAGCGCCACTTATTGAATAAAATTCATGTTTCATCCAATCTTCTAAGATTTGAGCAAAAGAAACCCAAGGACCGCATCGGCCTAAGCGGTGCAATCACCCGGGCCCGGTGCGACCTAAAGCCGTCGCAATAAACGACGCACCCAAAGCCGTTGCAATAAACAACGCACCTAAAGCCGTCGCAATAAACGACGCACCCAAAGCCGTTGCAATAAACAACGCACCTAAAGCCGTTGCAATACACAACGCACCTAAGGCCGTTGCGATCCACAACGCGCCTACAAAGCCGTTGCAATAAACAACGCACATAAATATCGTATCGGCACAAGCGGTGAAACACCCAAATCGGCCGGCGATATGCAGGACGAAGGACCTGTGTGTATGGTCCAACGTCTTCAAACGGAGAAGCATACCGCGTCGTCCGCGCGGAAACCGCAGGACGACAGGTCTGAATTAAGGCTGAGGTTACAAAAACTCCACCCGTCAGTAAAATTTCGCTCAGGACCACAAAGGGCGGCCGTCAAAAGACGATGCCTAGTCCGGTCCCTCGTCGCCGATAGACGTGGAAAGGCAAAAAAGGATGCCACTGACACACCAAGCCGAGGGCGTATTTACTCCCCCGCACCAATTCACGCGAAGAGCGTAGCGGACAAAACTACCGCATATGGACGAAGGGACAGTAACCCTTCGGCCACTCAAAAAAAAAAAAAAAAAAAAAAAAAAAAAAAAAGAGGGAAGCCGACGGACCGTGCACTCGCCGGCCTCGAGCATAAAACAAAATCCCCACAAAAACCAAAGCCTCAAAGTTGGCTAAGTACATATCAGGTTTTCACTATACAAGGATCTGAAGTGCACGCTTCGGCCCCAACCATAGCGTCACAGAAGGGAATCGCTTCGGCTTCGGTTATACAAAATCAGTCCATTATTCAGACGACGGGACGCATCGTCTCCACGAAGAAAAACCCAAGTGACGAACCGAAGCAAAACAACTCCATCAAGGCAAGTTGGACACTTAGAACATTTTCTAAGTCACACTACAAGAGAGACGATACGCTACCATTCCATATCTGGGTATCGCTTCGTCCTCAACACTTCAGGATTAAGCTCCAAAAACCCGGGAAAGATGTAAAGGCAAAAATGGAATTCACCAAGGGCCGACAAGGCGCATCGCCTCAACCATCAGGTTTGATGTTGGCACTTAGAAAAAATTCTAAGAAAACCAACCTACATCGACACATGGACGATGGGGCGCATTGTCTCAACCACCCTGAGTATGTTCGCAAACACTTACCCAAATTTGAAAAAAAGATGAAACTTGTAAAGCAATAAGTACATAGACGATGCGACACCAACAGTCCACAAGTCAAAAAGCTATAAAGACGAAGCAACGCTTAGTCTTAAACCAGCTGGGGTACGCTTACACCCAGTACTTGGCAAAGATTGTGAAAATCAAAAGATGCATGGGAATTTAAAGCAACAAAGACGAAGTGACCAAATATTCTACACTTGGACAAAAAGAGCTTTGATTGATGATTCAAACATACAAGGAGGGCACTTCGGCCGTTGCAATCATCCAGGCGCTTCGGCCATTAAGAATAGTACTACGAACAAAAAAAGGGGGGGAAGCTAAGTACAAATACTAAACAGCTTGTCCTTGGCCACCCTCGACGGCTCCGCTGTCCGCATCGTCTTGCTCATCCTCAGTATTTTTTGACTTGGTCGAGGTCCGGAAGAGGTAATCATCACTCTCGGTCCAGGGCTCGTCTTCTTCATCCGAGCTTAGGATGGGGGGCTGCCTTTCGGATAGAGGAAGCTTCAACTCCTCCTCGGGGTCCTTCATCATCCGAGGAAGGCCGATACCCCTGGGCTTCAGGTTCTTTACACGCCGGCGGAGGCGGCGGTAAACCAACATCTGCATACGCCTCTGGCCGAGGTCATACCAGACTTCAAACTCCTCCTTCAGGCGGGCTCGGCCAGCCTCTCCCTGAGACCACGCTTCAAAGCGCTCCGCCACGACATCGAAAGCCCAATCGCTTCGGGCCTCGTCCTTCCACCCCTCAGCCATGAAGAGCTCAACGGCTCTATCAGCAGCTGCAGTCGCGTCGGCCTCTAGCTTCAAGGCCTTTTCCTCCGCCAGCCGACGGGCAGCCGCTTCTTCGTCCAACTGAACCTTGAGGTGCTTCGCCTCGTCCTCGGCAGCAACGGCTCTCTTCTCAGCCGCATCGGCCCTCTCCTTCAAAGAGCCAGTCTCAATCCGGAGCTGCTCCAACTTGGAAAGCGCCTCGTCAGCAGAGGCGGCTTTCTTCTCAGCTTCATGAAGGCGAGCAAGCTCCTCCACCTGCCGGCGCTGCTGCTCCATCAGCATAAAAGCCCCCTGCAGAGACAAATAATGGTCAGAAGAGGAAAAGAATGCAAAAATTACTAAGTACAAAGGCCGGGACTTACCTGGACGACGTAGTCCAAACCGCCATCGAAGAGGCGCACATCCTTGCTCTGCCGCCGCAGGTACTCCCTGTCGGCATCGGGAATGGCCTGGAACAAGACGTCGTGGCCAGACACCTTCTCGTTAAAAAGCCCGCCCTTGGTTGGGTACCGCACCGTCACCTCATACAGGCCGGTAGCCGGATCTCGATCGGCGCGAGTGCTTCCCTTGGCAACAGCACCAGATTTGGTGGGGACTACGGCGGACGAGGCGACATTCAAAGTCAGATCCTCGATAACTTGCACGTCGGAGATAACTTCCCCTTGAACCGACGCCTGCGCATCGGCCATTGCGGCATCAAGGAGAGGAGGGTTCCGCTTCGTCTTTTTGGCACCCTGGGCCGGTATCAGACCCGTCTCGGCAAGGGTACGCTGACCCTCCTCAACGGCCTTCTTCCTCTTCACCACTGGCTTCTTCGCCGCGTCGGCTTGGGATTTGGTCCCGTCACCAGAAACCTTGGACGCTTCGGCCTGTTGAACGGCCTCCATCTCTTTGGCAACCATTTTCTTGGCCTGAGCCATGAAAAGCTTGCGACTCATCTCAAAACCTGCAGATATGATACAAAACAAAGAGTCAGAAACAAAAGGAAAAGAAGCCAAGTACACAAGGATTAAAGAAAAGCTATCAACCTTCGGCCTCGGCCGGGATCCCAATAGGTGGCCCATCGGCCTGCTCAAAGTAACCAGACATCTTCGGCCACAAACCACAGTCCGGATCGCCTGGTATGTAATAGCGCATCATCCCGAGGGCCGCAATCTTAAACTCAGTAATATAGGTGTTGACGCTCCGCGGCCCACCCTTCAGGAACGCCTCCACCTGAGCATCGATCTCAGCGCTCTTCGGCGGAGTGTGCAAGTTAAAAAGCCCATTATGGCCTTGAGAAGGAAAGAAGACCCCGTCGGCCAACTTCACAAAGCAGAATTTACTCTTCCACCCGTGGATGGACGAAGGGAGATCTATGAAGGACCTCTTCTTTGGCAACTGCTGAAGCGCCGCGTAGCCAACACAGTTCTCATGGCTTCCCCGGCCAATCCGGTACAAATTCATAAACAACGCCGTCGTGGGCTCAATCCTAAGCTCGTCACACCGGATAAGGAACCCGACGATAATGGAGTAGCTGTTCGGCGTTAGTAGAGCTGGGGGAAGGTCCAACATCTTCAAATATTGGACTACAAAAGGAGGCAACGGGAACCTCAAGCCTTGGGAAAAACTCATTGGATACACCCCGAAATATCCAGGGGGTGGGTCCAAGACGTGGTCCGTCGGCTTCGGCGCCCTCACCTTTCCATAGGGGCCGACGTACAACTGCGCCACCTGGTATTCGCTCTGGGTGCTCTCCGGCCTTATAAGATAAAGGTTCGTCAGATCCAATTGAGAAAGCCCGCCGGATACACCTTTCCGACGACGCGATGTACGTCCTTTCACCACCCCAGATGACGACGCGCCACCCGGAACAGACGAAATTGGTGGTGGACAAGGGATGGCGGCCGATGAAGCATCACCCGCATTATCTTCACGAAGCCGGGGCTCGGAGCTCGCTTCGTCCTCACCAGAGGGTTGAGAACCCGCATCGGCACTTAGACGCTCCTCGTCCACGGAGGTGCGGTAATCCGCGGTATTCTCCATCTCAATCTCAAAAGCCGCCACGACGTTCAAATCCACTTGAGGAGACGCGTCGTCCTCGTCAAAAGGCCAGTCTGATTCGTCCAGAGAGGCTGTCAAATCAATAGGGGAAGGGACGCTACGGCCGTCAGGGAACGGCATAACACCTAAACCTATCCCTAAGGGTGGTTTATCGGATCAAAGTGACTTTCCTACGAACACTAGATCTAACACCCTAAGGAGCAAAATATGAAGGAAACAAAGGAAAAGTAAAGTAGCTAACCTTGGAAGATTTGAAGGATGTGATGAACACTTGAAAAATCTCAGAATTTTCTCTCTCTAGAAAAACTTGGGCAGCAATTCGACAACAGCAAGGCACAAATGAGGAGGTGGCTTCGGAATGAAGGGGTATTTATAGAAAAATTCCAAACGGTCACTACACGTGGCGCCATCCCATTGGCTCCACCAACGGCCACCTCTCTTCCAACCAATCAAGGGGCGCCAATTCAAAATCACCCAAGCTAGCACCCCTACGGCCCAACTCAGCCTTAACAAAGAACAGGGCATCGGCCGAGCACCACTACGGCCCAATTACTACAAAGCTCCCGAAAAGGCATCGGCCCATTCTCCCGAATAAGCAACGCATCGGCCTAAACTCGACGTCCTCACAACAACCCAAAGAACCTTAAATAGACCGCTACGGCTGCTTGTGCGCGCATCGTCGATGATAACCCTGGCATTGCGGCCTTCGTCCAAGGGTTCTCCCACAGGGTTACCTTGGACAGGTTCGCCTAAGGGTTGGAGTCACGACTAAACGCATAGGTACCGGATCGGCTCATTACTCCCTTGTGCCTCAGATGCTCTTCGGCCAAAGGAGTGGGGGACTGGGGGACTGTTGGCCACAAAAAGAGAGAGCGCAACGGCCAATAAACCAAAGATCGCATCGGCCATCGGAATACTAAGGATTGTGTTGGCTATAAAATCACTAAATCGGCTACAACATAGAGCAGCGCGCATCGGCTTATTCGCTAGCAGTGCTACGTCCACCAATACAAGAGGACCGCAATGGCTGCGAGAAGACCGCATCGTCTCACCATAACAAAAACTCACAAGTCAAAACGCTTCGGCTGCATAACAAATCAAAGGTGCGCATCGCATCGTCTGCATAAACAGAATCACCATCATCTCACGAAAATAGGTCTTCGCTACGGCCAAAAGGATAAATGGGAGCTCTTCGGCCCCAACAAGATAACAAGGAAAGCATGCCAACTTATCCACCAAGGATTCATCGCATCATCTACAAAAGAGAAAGCGCATCGCCTCGACTTCAAAGGCACTCCCACAGAGTGTGCATCGGCCCGCATCAAGGCTATGAGTTCCCAAGCACGCTTCATCTACATCAAATAAGGGAACCGCTTCATCCAAAATCAAAGCAGGAACTCTTCGGCCATCAAATGCCTTAGACTCACGCAACGGCCAGCCAGAAAGGAACAAGTACTCCCTTTCGCTTCGGCTTCACCTCAGCTCAGAGAGTGGGGGACTCCTGATAGAGTATATGGGCCTGGACCCCATAGCCCACATACTCAATGGCCCAAAAAGGCACCAGCGGGACACCCGCATCGGCCAGAGGCATGCAGTGTCCAAGAAAGAAGATATCGCCTGATTTATTTGGACCGCGTCGTCCCTAGACCGCATCGTCCATGGACCGCATCGTCCATGGACCGCATCGTCCCTGGACCGCATCGTCCGAACCTCGGCCGGACAGAATGTATTCTTCTATTTTATGTACTAAGTGTTGTACACAGCCCATTAGTGGCCTTATTCGCCCAAAGAAGGCATGATTATTGTAATGGGCCTCCTAAGCCCAAGGCTAGGGGCCCAAATCTGCATTTTTACCTATAAATAGACCCCAAGGGGCTAATTATAGGGGATTGGCAAGTTGAGAAATATAATTACTCACTTTCTCTCTCTAGCTCTCACTTCTCTCTAGAATTAATACTCTATCAATGGTTAATGTGATTTATTGTTTTATCATGTTGTTTTATTTGTGGCAGATAATGTTGACCGGTAAACTCTAATACTTCAAGTGAATAAATAAACGCTATTTTAGATTTATCATGCTTTTATTAAAACGGAGAATATTAGTATTATTATTTTTTTAGTCCGGATAGAAACATTTTTTTTAATCGTTAGAGGCCGAAACAATTTAAGCCCAATTAAGTATTTTTTAAAAAACTGAAGCCCTAAAACGAAGTTTAAGTAACTGGGCAGCTCTCTAAACCGCCATTATCTATTGTTCTTTCCTCCTAATCGCCTCTGCTCTGTGCTCTTCTCCCTACACGAAATTTTCTCACTCAAGGCATCAGAAGTCTGGTACGTTAATATTTATTCCCATAGCATGAATTTCTGCAAAGATTCTATTAGTCCCATTAATTGTTTAAAGGTTTACAAACTTTGACATCATAACTTGATTTTTAATTTGAATCTAGATAAATGATTTTATTCTCCTAAACCTTCTTGTACGTTTGAAATTTTTATAAGGAGGGGAATTTCTAGTACAATTCGTAGAGCAGCCACTTCAAGTCCTTCTTTTAAAATCTAAACCACGAAACTGCCAATTTTAATTCATTTTGTTAGGCCTGTAGTACTGCTGTACCTTTGCCTTTGAAAATCGATTTGTTTTCAGAAGCTTATATTCCTATTAGCTTTCTCTTAATGTGTTGGCCGTGCTGTATGAATTAGGAACTGTTTGAAACTTCTTTTAGCAGTCAACACCTCAAATCTTTTCTACCGAAAATAGAAATTTAAATCTTACAATCGGGTGATAAGTGTTTATGGTTAAAAATATAACTATGATTACAGGTTTTGTTTTACTAGAGAAGATTATATTAGATACCATCATTTAATTTTGAATTTGATTTTTGAAACTAAGCCACACCGGCGATTTGTTTTTTTTTTAAAAAAGGGGAAGCAGACTTCGGTTTTAATGTTTTGAAGGGTCTGTTTCTAAGTGATAATTTTGGGGTTATTTTAACATGAGCTTGTCCCCTTATTTAAATAATTAATTCCAGCAATTAGTGAGCTCCTGCAGAATGGGTTTCGAAAATCTGAAGTTTTGTTTTAAAGTCATCTGGGAGATCACATTTGTGATTTTAACAGCAGGAATTGAAATTTAAAGTTTTTAGCTATTTGGCTTATTAAGACAAGAATTCTAAATTTTGACTATTCTAAATAAAGATTTAAGTGAAGAGCTTATCGGAAGACGTTATCAAGGTGCCACACTTATCTGAGTATTTTGAGTTCAGCTGCTAATAGGTAAGTTCACTACCACCTGTACATGTTTGTTCAACCAAATAAAAGGAAGAAGTCTGGTTGATTTTTAATAGATGATTTTAGTCTATTTGCTATTATGTGAACTTGGTGAATTATTTGATGAGTTATTTTATTTTTCGTGTCAAATTATGTTTATTATCTGGTACAGTCAAGACTATGTCAGTACTTTTATTTCAAGATGTTAATGGTGTTTTATCCAAACGTCACC